AAGCCGATGGGGAAAGATAGACCGGAGGCGAGCTCGCGGTGGAGCTGGGATTCTGTGGTCCGGGCTCCGATGGCGCCGACGGAGATGAAGTCGGCGAGGAACTGCGGGGAGATGGTGTCGAGCATCTCGCTCGCGATGGGCATGCCGGCGTTGGTCAGGTCGCTGAACATCTGGCGCGATATCCGCAGGCCCTTGTTGATCTTGAAGCTGTTGTCGATGTCCGGATCGTTGATCAGGCCCTTCCAGCCGACGGTGGTCCGGGGCTTCTCGAGGTAGGCGCGCATGATGATGCACAGATCGTCGGACAGCTTCTCGGCCAGGGCCTTGAGGCGGCCGGCGTACTCCTGCGCCGTGGTGGGGTCGTGGATGGAGCAGGGGCCGACGATGACCAGGAGCCGGTCACTGCGGCCCATGATGATGGAGACGGCCTCACGGCGACCCTTGACGACGGTCTGGAGCGAGGCGTCGGTCATGGGGATGTCTGAGATGAGGAGGGCGGGCTGGATTAGAGGGTCCTGGCCCAGGACTAGTGTATCGGCGTATATCAGCATGACGAGTACTTGAGAAGAAGTCTTTGTTGCTTGATCGAGGCATGTATGGATTCGTTACAGAACAAACAGAATGATGGCAGGGACCAGTTCTTCTCTGAAGGCAGGCATCTTGTCGATTGATATATACCTACATATTGCCTCTCACCATGTAGTAAAAGCAAGCCAGACAATAGGGCGAGACAATATGACGTTACACCAACGCCCAATAATACCGCAGGGTAAGAAAAACGATAAACAGAGAAACGAATCGACGCCTGCTACTTCTTCTTCTTCTACTACTACGTACGTACCTCTCATGTCATCGGCCTTGAGCGGCGCCATGTCGACTCCCGGCATCTTGCTATAGTATTACACGAGGCAGATCCTCTATGTTTCGAGGGCTGCGACAATCAGCAACCTGGCGGCACGCAGGATAGCTTGTTTCAAGTGAATGCAAGGTCAGCTTGCGTCAATTGGATTCGATCGATCGATCGGTCTGACAAAGCGGTTGTGCTAGGCCGGAGGCGGGAGGCAGAGGATTGATTCACTGGCGGCGGTGGTTATAGAAGGAAAATGGCAATTAAATATGAAGAACCAACCGGGGGTATCCTGCAATGGAGAGGTGGGCAGATGTTTGGGTAGAGTAATATAGAAAGTGAGATGAGACGGAACTAAGTGAGGTAGGACAGGCACATGTGAGAAACACTTGGTGCAATGGGTGGATGATTCTCTTGTGTCGAGTTAGAGATGAGTCAGTCCAATGAAGTCGAAAGTAAAAAAAAAAAAAAAAAACACACACCAAAAAGTCGCAGGTGAATGAAGTACCTGGTACCACTTGGCGGGGTAAGCTTCAAGGGGGAGCTTAGATGCCTATTTAAAATTCTAGACTCCCTCCGGCTGGATGACGGGAAGCTCGACCCAAGGTTTTTTTTTTGGTTTTTTTTTTTCTCTGTCCCTTGTTCTTCCGCGTCAATTGGGTATCTTGGGAAAAGTAGTCACCCACACTCTACGTATACCATCCAGACAGACGCCTGAGTAGATGATAGAATTAGTACCCAAGAAAAAAGCCTTGCTAGATTCTGTCAGTCGTGTCAGCCCGCCACTCCACGGAGCCGGTGACGGAGCTGTACAGTATCCGCTATGGTGCTACCCTACCTACAGGAGAGAGGGGCAGCTTCAATGCGGATAGAGGGGCTAGAGGGGCCGCACGCCTATCGATTAAGGTACCCTAGTAAAAAAGGATGCATGCAGCCAGGGTACGTAGGTACATATGTACAAGTAATAATAGGTTACGCATACATGTAGGTTAGGTAGGTCAAATACCCAATCATATTGAGGACATTTAAATACGCTGTCGACCAGGGATGGATGACCGAGTATCAATCTGCAGAATGTCATGTCATTCGGGGTTTTCTTTGCGCCCTTTGTTCAATTTTCGTAAGGGTCGATTGATTACATACATGTGTGCTCCTCATGTACATCCATCCTACCTACTCGCCCACTTACACCAGACATGCAGATGAATGGTACAAACAGACCCTACCCCAGGTACCTAGGTAGTCCAAGCCCAGTTAGTATTGCCCAATGTAATTGATTGATTGGTCAATGGATGGATGGATGTACTTACCTGTTTGGCCCTATCTACAGTACTGTACTGTACACTCTATCACCAGTGGCACGATGACATGACCTACCTAAGGTACGCTGCTACAGTCCACCGCCATTCTGCAGCGGCATCAGGTCAATAGCATCCAATAATATCATCCGCCCGTACCACGCAGCTCTACGGCGTCTTCTCTAGGGTGCATAAGGATGTATCGGCCAGCTTCCGTAGCTACGAGATACTTGTACTTAGATCGTGCAAACAAACAAACAAGGGTGCGAGCAATCCCTACATGCCATTCATACCTACCTACCGCATACCTAGTGATCAGTTGTGATCTCTCACCTCCTAGCATCCGGAACCGAGAAACAGACCCCCGAGCAAAAACGGGGGAGAGCAATGGTAGCACCGATCAAGTAATCTCCGCGCATCTCGGTGCTTGCTAGCTTATGGGCCCCGTGGCTGGCCCGTCTAACCTGGCGCCGTAGCACCGCATCGGATCCCGAGGCCTCGTGCAGGCGGTTCAACCTCTCCCTTGCGCCAACTGTGCGATGCGACACCTAACTATGGAAATGTGGGACAGCAAGTAGAAGTTCGAAGAAGCATTCATTGTAGGAATGGAATTCGCCACAAGTGGACGACGACGGTCGGAAGGAAGAGTTGACTAACGGCTGAGGGGATGGAGGCAATTGAAACCTGCTTATTACTAGACAGGTAGCAACCGTTTTCGGGATTAGTAGAAGGACAACAACCATGGCATTAAGCCGCGGTGTATTGGCATATGTAGATGGGAAAGTCATAAATAATAACGGTTGCGTTTCCCCATCTCCCTTCATGTTCACTTACCTAAATACTCTAGACACATTGATTCTAGCGTGTGTTCTCACCGGAGATTAGGTACAGTTTGGCGGCTAAATACTGACAAAATCTCCATATCGGAACCTGCTTGTCCGTAAACCTGGGGAAATCCCCGCAGCACCGTGCTTCGTGGACGGAATAAATATCCCAATTGGTGCCATTGCTATTGCTGCCATCCAAGATGATCGTTGTCTCGGCGTTTCGCTGTGCTGCTCTTTCACGCCCAGTAACATACAGAAGAAGAACGTGACCCTCTTTCGCCGTTTCAGCTGTAGACTTTCGGGGACATGAGGCTCAACATCTTCTCCGCAGTAGCTTGTCTACTATGGGCATCACGCGTGCCCGCATCTCCCCTGGGCGCCCAGGAGATAAAGTGCAGACAGGAGCCGGATTTTCACTGGGTCGCCACGTGGACGTCGATGCCACAGTTAGTTGAGCAGAGCAACCTGCCCCCGTCTCCCTTTGTAAGTGTGATGATGATGATCATCTCGTCAGGCTACATCCGCCTATTCATTCATCTCTGGCATTCTGTCTAATGTTCTCACATAGACCGGAAGTGGCGTGTTCAGAGATGCCACGCTCCGGCAGACGCTCCACATGTCCATTGGCGCCGAGAGAATCAGGATCCGGATCTCCAACACATTCGGCGGCAGTGCTTTGCCCATCACAGCCGCATCGCTCGCTCTCCCCACAGGCGGCAAGGCCGGCGTCGGCGGCATCGACACCACAACACTCCGGGGGCTCACGTTCAACGGCGCCAGCTCGGTAAGCATCCCCCAGGGTCAGACGGTTTACACAGACCCCATCGACGTCAAGATCGAGCCGCAGTCTATGATCACGGTCACTGTCTACTCTCAGGCTGGCCAGTCGGGAACCAGTATCACAGGCCACCCTGGCAGTCGTACGACCTCGTGGATGCAGCAGGGGAACCACGTCAATGAATCTTCCGTGACTGGGGCGAGCACGGCCCATTGGTACTTTTTGAATGCAGTCGAAGCCTGGGCGCCCAAGTCGACGGCGGCCTTGGTGATCCTCGGCGATAGCATCACAGACGGGAGAGGTAGCACCGACAACCAAAACAACCGGTCAGACCCATTGCCATGTCGAGAAATAATCCCGTGCGTGCTAACTAGTGTAATAGGTGGCCGGACCTGCTTCTCGCCAGGATGCAGAAGGAGAATATCACCAACATTGCCGTCGTCAACCAAGCAGCGGGCGGTAACACGGTCCTCACGGGAGGGCTGGGCCCGCCACTCCTGCAGCGATATAAGCGTGACCTGCTAGACACAGCAGGTGTTAAATACGGTCTCATATTCGAAGGCGTCAACGACATCGGCGGTGCGTCGGCGGACTCGGGCACGCAATCACGGATCAGCACTAGCCTGGAGTCGGCCTTCAAGACCGTCTCGGCGGATGCCAAGGCCGCGGGCATCACCATGTTTGGCGCCACGATCACCCCCTTTGGCGGCAGCGGGCAGGCGTACAGCAGCCCGGCGCGCGACGCGGGGCGTCAGGCAGTGAACAAGTGGATTCTGGCTGGCGGCGACGGCAGTTATGCCGCCTCGATTGATTTTGCCAAGTTCCTGGCCAACCCGTCCAACGCGGCCAACCTGGCTTCGCAGTACGATGGCGGCGACCACCTGCATCCGAACCCCGCGGGCTACCAGGCCATTGCTGACCAGTTCCCGCTGAGCATCTTTCAGAGTAAAAGAGCAGTAGGTAGACCACATTAGACAGGGAAAAAAATATAGCTAGGGTCTATCTCTATCTGAGATACTAGGCATGCAACTTCTGAAAGCTGCCCCGGACGTACATATGTATAAAAAAGAACCAAAGGATGTCAAGGATGGATGGATTAGGAGAGAAAAAGGAGAGAAAGGCAATAACGAGGGAATGATCTCTCTCCCTATTGTGATAACTAACGTACGGCACTGTACTATTTATTCATTGTCGGCGGCGGGCGAACGAATCGATAAAGCAAACAAAAAGAATAGGAAAAAGGAAACCTTCGCCCCAGGCGGGGGTCGAACCCGCAGCCTTCGGATGAACTTTTGCAGACCACATATGGTAAATAAAAGTCCGACGCTCTAACCAATTGAGCTACCAGGGCTATCTGTGCTTTTTCTTGGTGTTATGATGACTTAAGAAAATGGATAAAACAGGTCTGGGTTTACACACCTAGGTCTAACAGCCGTCAGTCACATCCAACACCATTCCAACCAACATAGATTTCATCCAACGTAAACCACCATCCACCCACTCATTTCTCTACTCGAGCAGGTACTCTGCCATGGGAACACGTGCAGTCCCATTATTTGCGCGGACGCTTCGTCGCCGTCTTCCATCAATCTCCCAGTTCCGCGTTCTCCCTGTTTCTCGGACACATATTTCGCCTCGAAAGGTAACACATTGTTTCTATCGATCTGCGAGCATGTCTTCAATATCCACCCCGACTTCTACGTCCGCCATCGGACAGCAGCCCTTGCCCAGGGGATTACAAGTCAAGTCATCTCTGGAAAAGTGCTATGTTATTGACGAAGTGCTTTCAGAGCGACATGCCGCCGGGAGGATATGGTGTGTGTACCGCGCGACGTAGGTTGGCCCTGTCCTTGAGATCTGCCCAGTGCATGGCCAGACGGCGGGGAATCCTAACTACCTCTTAATTTCAGACAAGAGGGGGAGCAGTTCATTCTCAAAGACATCATCCCAGGCGACCTCGATCACATTATTTCGCTACAGAAGCACGTCGAGCACTCCCCCAATGTCCGAACAGTCGTGGATAGCATTCCTGAGCGGCATATGTTAGTCTTCCCCTATCTCGAGAAGGGACTGCTCCATGTCGACACCGCAGCTCTTTCTTCGGTCGCCAAAAAGGCCATCATTAGGGATGCTCTTACCGGTGTCGCTGATCTGCACAACGAGCACATCATCCACACCGGTTAGTGCCTCCCTTGCAGGGTTGTGGTATGTGCGCTGACATAGTTCACAGATATCAAGCCCACAAACAAAATGATGGATTCTTTCAAACGGCAGAATGGAGACCTTGAATGGCGCAACGTCCAGATCACTGACCTGGAAGCTGCGGTGATGCTTCCGCCCAAAGCTAAGGGCCTCACAGACCGCTTGTCAGGGAACCACTTCTGGCGAAGCACGGAGGCTTGGGCTCGGGGAATCCAGAACACCCCATCAGACATCTACGCCTTTGCCGCTGCGGTGAGTTCTTCTGTGGGCAGAAAACACAGTACACGGATGCTGAGTGGCGGGCGCTCAGGCGATATTCGCGTGGACGGGGAACATGGTGTTTTTTTCAGATTAAGCAAACCGTGCTTCCCCTGAGGAGCGGGCGAAGCTGATACTCAGCCGCCACTTGCCCCTCTTCGCCGGCGACGAGGAGGATTTTGAGGGCTTTATTGCTTATCACGGGAGAGAAGATAATCCATTTGTCGAGCGTATTAAGGGACTTTGCAAAGCTTTCACCGAGGAGAAGCCGAGGCTGCCCTTTGGGAGGTGGCAACAAGTAGACACCTAGTTCAGGGATCTCGTCTGCAAGATGACCTCCACAGATCATTTGCGGAGGATCACGGCGTGGAAAGCGTTGCAGCACCCTTGGTTTGCTGCGGAATAGGAGGTCGTACAGCTGTTCGCAAGCGAGCGTTGTCACAGCGTATAATAGTTGGAGTGAACCTTACGGTACCATAAGACACATCCGGACCAAGCCGAGTGAGCACGTTATTTAACTAATGCCTCATCCACGCCTTTCTGTTCACTGGTGTAAATTCTTATCCTATCCCAGAGCGAATTCAATCAGTTGTAAGTCAATTGTCCTAGTTATATAAGGTATACTATGTTTAGTAAGTACTTAGCTTAGCGAGCTTCAGCAATGATACTTGTAAGTAACAAGGTTTGAATACAAGAAGGTACGTATAATTACTTCGTACTTGCTTAGTAATATAATAAATAAACTTCCATTCGATTTTACTGTAGAACGTGTTTTGCATAATCCATTCATAATAATAAACTATTGTTCTTTCATCGATCAGAAGGCGAGCTAAGGTGAGCTAGGCCTGAGCAAAGGCGGCAAGTGCGCTAGAACTGATCCAGAGTACATCGGAAAAGCTAGAGCTGCTAGAGAAGGAGTACAATGGAATGAATAGAGGCGGCAGAAGTTGGTGAATGAATTCAATTTCCTAAGTCCCACTTTCTAGGTCTTTCTGCCCGCTCCCACCGCTTCGAAATTTTGTATATATATGTGTCTCCCTCCCGGGCACCTGCTTTGCTTCTTCTCTTCTCTTTTCTTCTTCATACTTACCTTGGAGGGAGAGAAGGGGGCTCAACAATCCCCGTCCTCAGGGTGCGAGGGCCTGCATTGCACACCGTGGTCGCCTTCCGCCTTTTGTCGATGCCTCGTGTGTCCCAATCTCCGCAATTTTTGATTTTTCTCTTTTCGAGACTTCGTTTTCATTGTGATCATCGCCGTGTGTGGTGACGCGAAGAAGATGTTACCAGACTATATTTCCATCAGCCTCCTATTGAAAGACGCCTTCCAGTCATAATAATTGCAATGCACGCTGTTGATTCTCCTGAGACGCATACAGAGATTGCGAGACCGAACTCCTGGGATGTTATGGGGGTCGATTTCGTGCTTCACATTACTATGTGTCAATACTATCATGATTTTTTTCCCTATTGTTGTTGGGGCACTTTGGCCGTTATGATATCCGGAAGAGCAGTGTATCTAGGCCCATAGTAACTGGTAAACGGAAGCTGAGTGGTCGTGAGATACGTGTTTTGTGTCCAGTACTACGTATATCGATAGTGATATGCTCTGTATCTTGTAGTTGGTGTCAAATTCGGGCGGTAGGCAGGAATATCTGGTCTCCAGTGAGTGCCTTCCCTCTTACGTCACCAGATATACATTCTACCTCGTCAACAGTAAGTATTCATAACCGTTGCTTATCTGTTCCTCTTCAACAATGTTGCAGCCACCTACGAACTCGACGTTGCTGATCTACTTAGGTTCCAATCCGCTCGTGCGCGGGGTTCGAGCACAGTAGACAAACGCTTCAAGTTGATTTGCGTCAGTGACATGGTCACATACGGATCATAGCTCCAATAATACTGACAGCAAAGCCGTCGTTTGTACCCCAAGTCTGCGTTTCTCTGGTCCCATTAATGGGCGGGTGGCACAATTCTGCCCTTGTTTCCCGGCACTGTAATATTATGTTTGTAGAAAGAATGCGCATACCCTACGCTGTCACTACACCCACGGGTCAATTACTGGAGTTCGTCTGATCATCATCCGTTTGCTCTGCGCTGCGCGTATACTGTGACTCCCATACGCTCTGTGAAGCTTCTGCTAAGCGGCCTGATAAGCTCCAATCATTTATTAGTTACTTTAATGTTGCTACCCTGGCCGGGACTTCAAATAACCATAGGCGATTGAATACACTGAACAGCCTTCTACCTTTTTTCTATATGATAGTTTTGTAGTAGCTCTATTTTATGACATGGATAGCTGTGTCACCAATCTACCACGACGCAGATGATATCTTGACACTGCGAAAAATAGAGAATCTGGAGATGATTAGGGGGTTTGGCACTCTAGTGCTCGTTTAAGGTCGTTCGTGAGAGAACCAGACTCGGGTATTTTCCGGCGGAAGAGATGGGAGTGGATAGTATGCCTGCTTTGACGCAGTGAAGAAAAGAAAGAAGGAAGGAACTGGGCTATTAAGACGCTGTATTTCGGCTGAATTACACATATCCTGGATAGAACTTGATAACTTATCTATATATGACCTTCGTTCTCCCCTAGAACCGTCTATTATTTAAGCATACACAAGCCAGCTCATGCGAATTCAAATCGAGAATCTAGTTCTGTTCTTACCTCCCAACTCCGTCAATATTGCCGGGGTATTTATTAGTACTATATGTTGAGTTTAATACCAGGAAGGCCCAACTCGATTGAAAACACACAGGCCTTTTTCAACTTACTCTCTGAGGCCCAGAGAAGAACACGCCGACAGTTGATCCCTCCCTTCCTAGCACGCTTCATAGGGTATTATAGCTTGGTAGACCTCTCATCCCACGTTCACTCTTCCTTCCACTTCTTCCTCAAATAAAACGGAAGGCACCTCGCATACATACAATCACGTTAGTCGTCTACTAGAGCTTTTGCAAACTTCACTCCGATACTTAATCTCGCACTCATAACCCCTAATCTACCAATGCTAACCTTAAGCTATCCATTCTTCCCTTAGAACCTCTGAACGGCGGTCTGCTCCATTTTAACTGCTTAGTTCCAGCCTCCTAACCAAGAGAGGCGTTCGGTACCACGTCTATCACCTTAGGCGTTCCAAAGCAGCTAAAGCTCAGATGAAAATTTACGCACACATAATCTAGTATCTTCGTCGTGTTTCCGTCCATCTCCTAGATAAAGCTTGAGAGGGGAGCAGCAACCTACCCTCTGACGACCGGATCTACAACGTATTTGTCTCCTTACTTCACATTTACAAACCTACCTCCATTTCACCACTTGAAGAACATTCTTTCCTTCTCACGTATCTAGTTTCCGCTGCACAACATCGTCATACTTAATTCGTTCTTCCTCGAGTACCTTATAGCATCGAGAATCTATATTCTATCATCCAGTCGAACACGTCTCACCAACATTGAAGACTATGCAGTCATAGGTACCCATGTTTATTTCTCCCAAATATCTCGCTCCCGAGCTAACATACTAGCCGGATGGTCTCAGCGACGTGCTTCTCAATCCCGGGTCTACGACTCGGCGTGAATCACTCACCTACATTGCCGCCGGCTTCCAAGAATATCGCTTTTATTGCCACTTCAACAAGCCCATATCACCATCTGGTAATTATAATCTATAGCCGACACACCTTGACTAAATCACTTTAATTGCTCTTCTTATCAAGCTGGTTTCTAATCAGAGAATAGTATCTACCTAGGCGTTCGCATCATCGGTAGCCAAAACTATCATACGTTCGGTTGTCCATTATCGACTCGTTACCACTAGTGCTGGCAGAGAAATTTATCACCTACCACTTGAAAATTACGCACATAATAAAAGCCATTATTCTTCTCATCCACATA